CCCCAAAACCCCAAAACCCCAAAACCCCGAGCACGGATATTTGAACTGAATATTAGAATTTGTAAATAAAATAAAAAATTCATTTAAATCTTTATGTCTCTACATCCTCTCCATTCCTTCGGTGCAACGAAATTTGATAAAGACATAAATTTTAGAAGAGCTTGAGAAGGACCATCATCTATCTGATGATTCAACACTTGACTTAAAAGGAACTTTGAATGTTGCCATTTTCCTTTGATATAATATTTTAGTCCTTTCTTATATAATCTGAGAGCTTTTCTACTTATTTTACACTATATGGTAATCCCACTGACTTACAGAGAATCTGACAAAAGATATTTCTTGATCAAAATCAAACATATTACTTGCTCTGTAATTAGAATCACTAATCTTCTCAATATTTAGTTGCCTCTCAATAATCTTCTTAAAGAATAGATTTTTCCTATGAGTGCCTGACATTTTTGTATTTGTCATTCCATTGTGAGTTCTAGACATTTAGACCAAGACTATACTCATTTCCTTCTGAGATATCAATTCAGAAAAGCCTGACAACAGTTTTTGTCTTTCTATCGTACAGTTGGTCAATTCCTCTTCATAGCTATAATAATAAATAATGACTTGATCTTAGTCTTACCTGTTTGCCATCACTAGATAAAATATTGTACATACTGCCAGTAAGAAGAACTGGTCACCCATATGTCTTTGTAATACTTTCCAGATGCATTGCTAAATTTACATGAGGGCTAAGATAAGTTGCATCAATTTTGAATTGAGACCCAATAGCTCCTTCGATAGCCCATCCAAAGTGTATTCCGAAACCTAGTCTTATCTTATAATTTGGGATTTTCCCTAGAGATTAAACAACTCTTTACTGTTTATCCTCTTAGAGTTGTTATACTTGCTGATACTTGCCTCTGTATTCAGTCTGTAGATTATCTTCAAGACTGAAATTATAACAAATTCTGCAGTATTATTGATCTTTGGATTTCAATTATCAACACTAAGATTGCCATCTTCGTCCTTAATGATCTCTGATTCTTGGATCTTAAATACCAGGAGGAAGGCATCTCCAATATTTTTGTTTGGATATCCAAGATATTCACAAGATATCGAGTAAACGATTTTAGCGATGGAGTTGACAAACCCCATTACCTTCTCCTCAAGGATTTCAGTAACATCTGTAAAATTTCTGACATCTCAAAATGAGAAGATAGCAAGAGTCTTATTTCCCTTTATCTGGCAGAGGGATAAGCTTGGATCATGGAACTGTGACTCTTTTAAATCTATAGTTGATCAGATTGATAGAAACACTGAAATTTACCCTCTTTCAGCAAAGTTGAAATCACAGATCACCCTGCCTCACCAAACCCAAGTACAAGAAGGGATCAAATCTTAATGATAGTATTGTCAAGTATCTCTGTTTCATAGACTTCATCCTCTTTACCGTTCCAAAATCTTCCCCAGCATCCTACTTTGGTTTTCTTTGTTTCACCATCGAATTCTTGGAAGAAATTTTTCATCAGATTTAATTTAAGTGCTTTAAAAGGATCATTTGCTAACTTATTTATTTTGGTCACTAAGGATTCCAAAGGTCTCAGAACATATTTATGAGCATCAGATGAGAAGAGAAGTGCACCTACAATAAGTAAAATGATTACAAATGTAGTTTTGAATAATTTCAAAAGAGCAATGAATTTTATTTCCTCTTTCATTGAGAATTCAACGATATACCCAGGGCCTTCTTTGATATTCTTCTCCAAGATTCTTAGATTAGTGATTGATCTGTTATAATCCAAATATAGCGTTTTCGGCTAAAATTAAGAATTCTAAGCTTACCGAGACAGAAGTATTCCAGAGTTCAAGGTTTGTAATGTGGAACTCCTTATTATTAGAATGTGATATCAAATGATTAAATACAGCAGAGTATTCCAAGTTTTCAGCTTTGAAAGCCTGAATTACCTTAGTACCATACTGCTGAGCTGGACTAGGTGAATAAAATGTTGCCAAATCAAATAGAGGCAGAATTAAGAGCAAGCAAAGAATTATTATGATAACTCTTCTAGTAGTCCTCTGAGTTAAAATTTTACTAACTCTTGATTCTTTTGGAAGAATAATATCCTGATCATCTTCTATCTGTAAGAGGATGTTTATTAATTCTCTTTTATCTCCTTCATATTCATCACTGACTTCGGAAGATAATTTAGAAAAATTCTCGTCATCAAAGGATTCTAATTTCTTATATTCATTATTGTGCTTTGATATATGAGCTCCATTGGAGGATGACTTTTCATGAGGAGCTCCAAAGGAGACTACTAAAGATTACTAAAACCATACATTTATTATTTTGAAGAAGTCGACTTTTCAAACGCTGGAGTGATCTTCTCCTCAAAATTCACGGATAAATTCATATTGGCTCTTGGAGAAAGTCATTCTTTCTTGCTTTCATATGAATTTGACACTTCATATTCTTGGCTTTTCTTTTCAGATTTATTATCATTATTGATTTCTTCAGGAGCTTTATTGGCTAAAACTCGTTACACATTTCAATACTTTGGATTTGCCTGATCATATCATTGATCTGTGATAACTTGATATTAGGTTTTATATCTAAAACTATAAAACTCTCTATTCATACTGCTGTCAATATTTCTGTTCGAGATGTTATTTTCAGAATCTTTGTCATCATCAGAGATTTTAGTCATAAATTTCCAGCTTTTGATAGAATTTGACTCAAATGAACCCAGACTTGACTCAGAATGTACTCTTTCTGGAGTGATCTTACTCTTCTTTCTCTAAAAAATTAAAGGTAATTTTACTGAGAAAAATTGAGATAAGCTTCCTTTCTTTGCAATCGACTGGCTAGTCTTGAGTGTATTATTGTATAATTTGGCAATCCGTACAAGTTTAATCACTCTGAGAAGCCTTAAAACTCTTCCAGCTCTAGTTCCTGCTCTTGAAGCTCTTCCAGCTCTAGCCACTTCTGTTGCATCAGTAGCTATTCCCAGGCTAAATTTTAATGAAAAGGCTTACATTTGATCATCAATGTTAAGTAGTTCAAGTAAGAAGTAAATATCTGTCAGCAGTGAAATTAAAGAGATGAGATCAAGCCAAAAGAAGAAGCTGAATAAGTAGCCTTTAATGCCTATTAAGCTAAATAGAAGTTCTCAGAGAAATACTCAAAAACATAGTAGCAAAAGTGTATCAAATACGAGGTCGTCGTTGAACTGGAACCTCAGATCGTCTCCATAAAGTGCTATTAGAGTCATTATTGTGAGGAATATTTGGATTGAGATTTTGTCTAGCAATCTTTCTCATGCTCTTTGGAATCTCGTAAACTTTGTATCTTTTCCTTTACTATAATAATTAATGCATAAGATCAGAACACCCCAACTTGGAAAATTGAGATTAGTTAGGATTAAAAGAGAACCTTTGAAACTTACTTAGAAGAGCTGAATAGATCTTTAGTAGAACCAGTTAAGCTTGATTTAAAAGAGTGCCTTGATGTCTAAGATGTTTATAATATAATATTTTACCTCAGCATAAGAATCTGTGAAAATTGCCTCTTCGGAAGCAAGATATTCATTATTTCCTGTAAAATATATTCATACAGCATACTTGAATGTAGAGGTTTCTTAGATTTTTCTTTTATTATTTCCAGGTTTGGTCCAACTTCTTGTACTAAATTGGGAATCTTGCCCACCAAAGACTTTTTAACACTAATGCTAGAGGTATCAGAGATCCATGATATTTCATTTTTCATCATTGAAAGATTCTTCTAAAATTTATAGCATGTTAGAGAGATGCAATTTTACCTTGTTATCTCCTTGAATCTTATCCTCTCTGTCATCTTCACTACTTGATTCATTAGACTCAAATATGACTTCTTTCTCATAATTTAAAATAGTGCCTTTTGATTTGTTGTTTCCTAAATTTTCAATAAAAACTAAGTGAAAAGTATTTAAATTGCCAAAATAAGATAAATAGCAATTTACTTTTTGACATCTGACTCTCTGAGCCAGTCCAACTATCTGATTTACTACTATTCTACAGAGTTAGGCGATGGTGAATACTTCATTTATGCTTTTAAGAGATAATTTATTTAGCTTCCTCTATTTGCTTCATATCGAAAATAGCAGCAGACTTCTTTGGCTTAACAACATTCATATTTGAGTACATGCTTAGCCTCTTCCCTGTTGGGCAGTAAGGGTTCTCTTCTTCTCTTGCTGACCGATGTTTGTGCGTTAATCCACTAGTGGTCTCGTTTGTGTTCATAGAAGGACCTTTTGTAGCACTCAGAAAGTTTGTATTTTTACGAATAAAGTTTGGAGTCAATGCTTCAGACTTTGATTTCTCTGGATTCATCATTTTTGCACTCTCTAAAAGTTAACAATGATCAAACTTTGAGGTTTATTTCTTGTAATTTCTAAACATTGCCAAATACTCGTCATTGGTTGGGTAATAATCAGATTCTGATAATTTATTCAACTTCAACGGAACAGAGATAGCTTTTGCTAAAGATCATTTACCAATAAGTTACAGTTCATTGAAATAGAACCAGTTCTTGAGGACTGCTCTGACATTCCAAGGACATTATTTGAAGCATTCCTAATTGAATTCCTCTTTTTATCCATATTTATCGAAAAACTCATTTAAATTATTATATAATCCCCTCCAATATTACAAGAAAATTTGGGGTTTTGGGGTTTTGGGGTTTTGGGG